CCAGCCAGCATGGGAGTTGAAGTCCACACATCTTAAAGTTCCCAAGGTTGAGAAACACTGCTGTAGAGGAATGGATGGATCTGATGTACCAAGCTAAATTGGCAATAGATGCTACAAACCACACAGGCCCTCCAGTAACAAATAAACCCAGTTCATTGGTATAAGAAACCATGAATAAGAATGTATTGTTTTTTTCAGTTATCTCACAGTATTCTTTGCTTCCAAAACACATCTTAATCAAGACTCGTCAGGTGCAAGTGTTTCAAATCAGTTGACTAAATGATTAAAAGCTAAAATGACTAAAACAATTAAAAAAAAAAACAAACTATCAGAGACATGCTTTAAAAGAATTTTTTGTTTTAACAAATATCAGTAATTAAAATACTGGGAGAAACATTTAAAGAGGCAATCTACAGTCAATCCATTTAGCTGGGTCGACCTAGACTAGTCATCTAATCTACAGTCTAGCCTAGCTGACTAGTCTAGGTCAACCCAGCTAAATGGCACATTGTTTTACTTTACTTGCTGATGGAAAATTAAACAGGCTTGTTCAATGATAGAGTCATTTTACTAGTTATCTATCTTGCTCACCTGCTGCTCCATTTCGAGTGAACGAATCCTTTTCCTGTCTATTTTAAAATCACTGTCGTCTTCTTCGTGGAATGAGGCTTGTTTTTTGGCAGACAGTTTCGAAGCCAGTGTAATTCTTGAGACACCCTCTGCAAGAACAATACATCAAACAGAGTCTGCAAAAGGGGGATCAATTTTATAAATATCCTATTCAACAGAAAAACATAACCTGGGAGTTAAGGAGGGAGTAAAAATGGAGGGGGAAAGTTACACTGCCTTAGAGGAGAAACAGGTAACTCCAAAGACATTGTGCTCAATTTAGTTGTTTACAGTAGGCTACCTTGGGAATTTATCAGGAGAGAAATCAAACAACTAAAACAAGCAAACAAGTAAAACTCAATCAGACTACAATAGTTAAATTCCGTGCCCTGATCTAAAAGAATCCTATCTATGCTCTAATATGCAGTTAAGCCTCACCACAATTCTGTCAGGTTGGTTAGTTAAGTGACAAAGACATTGAAATACAGTATTTTTAACAACACTTAGGGGTAAACAAACCCTTTTCTAGAAACCTGTTACAATAGAAGGGAATATCTGTAGCTCAGGGTTGAACTGTGGAGTCCTTGGTGCTCTCTGAGCTTGGTGGTTTGCTTGTAGACGTTTTGTTACCAACACAAGCTATGAAAAGAAATACACTGCCATACATCAGAAACATCTCAGAAGCAACTAACAGGCTGCTACAACCACACGGCATCACCGTAGCACACAAACCAACTCAAGCCCTCCAAAACATCTTAAGCAAACCAAAAGACCAGTTAGCCAAAGAAGAAAAAAGAGGGTTCATCTAAAACAGACGGTGTAAGGACTGCCACAGCCACTATGGAGGACAGACA